GTAGCGGGTCCCGCGCCCGGGCCGACTCCCGCCCACTCCTGCACCTTGTAGCGGGTCCCACGCCGGTCCTTCAGCGTGGAGACGAGCAGGCAGGCGCGGCGCGGGCCGCCCGGCCCACTGCTGAGCGCCTGCTGACCCAGGCTCAGCACGGCGCGGGCCCCCTTGCCGCGGTTCCTCAGCCCCAGGGCCGGCAACTGCCGGCTGACCACCTCCACCTCGCAGTGCAGCTTCATCTCGCCCAGCCTCGGCGGGCGGACTCCCGGCTTTGAAGCTTCCTCGTTCCCGCCACCCGCGCTGCCGCCGGGGTCCTCAGCGCGCAGGCTGTCCGTGGATGCGCCTGTCTGCTGGGCGCCACTCGGCGGGCTCAGGACCGCGGCTCGGCAAGTGCTTCGGAGACAGCGTCCCCTCTACTTTGCAGGGCCGGGTTTTCACTGCAGCTGTGGATCTGCGGGGCGCGGACAGCGATCTCCTGGAGGCGGGGCTCGCGCTCCCCGAAACCGGCCATCGGCAGGGGCGCCACATCCTTCTCCGGCTGGCGGCCGCTGCGGGGTCTGTCCCAGGCGGGTTCCCGTGGCTCCCGGGGCTGTCACTGAACTGGCACTAATCGGCCTCCAACTTTCCCGCAGAGAGGCGAGCTTGCCTCTGCGGTGAAGGAAAAGGCCACACACGCCTCCGAGGGCGGAGTGATTTGTTTTGTTTTTAGTGGCTCCCTGGAGGTAACACTTGTGACACAGGAACGGAGCTTTCTATGAGGATGTTTGACTTGGAAGTTCTTGTTGAACAAATTCGTACTTAGCAACGACGATGAGTTGGATGGAATATGCTTAGTTGCATCTGAGACTCAGAAAGACCGTCCCGATCCCATGTGGCCTTGGCGCTCCTGATTCTATTTATTGTACCAGGGTGGAGGGCGTGCTCTCGTTTTTCAGGGTTGGAGTTTTACCTCAAAATTTGTGCTATAGGAACCTCCCTCATCCTACCCTGGTCGCGGTATTTTATTAAACATTTTACTTAGTCTGAGTTGTACTTTTGTAATTGTAAAATGCCTTTTAGAAATTAATTTTCAATTCAACTGTGACAACATGACTTATTCTCAAACGAGCACCCTTGTTTACATGTTGAACCTAAAAGTGGTGTCTGTTTTTGCAAGCATTCTTTTGAGAGCATCTGATCTGAATTTCTGTAGTTGTAAAGAAAGAATGGTGACGATAAACCTAGACTTACATGCATACGTCTGAAACACTCAAGCCATGCAAAGCTGGAGATGTGTGAAGGACATGAGGGATTTCTTGTAGGGTTTTAACAAAGTTTTTGGTAACAGTTCTTTTCCCAGACATACAAACACGACCTCCTTTCTCTGCCCCTTGCCTCCTTCACCCCTGTCTGGCCCTATTTTGTCTAGGTCTGACAAAAGTTATTTTATCCTGGCATCTGCAGCTTTCACTCCTCTGTAGTGGGCTGCCTTTCTTCGACTTTTTGGTCAGGTTGTGTTTCCACCTTGATTGCCTAATTAATACTCATCTTTGCATTCTTAGAACGACTATGTCAATTCAGAGCTGCCTTGCTTCTCTCCAGAACTATTGCTAAATTATCAAGTCTTCTTGCTTCAATAGTTACCTATTCATTTAATACTTACCATGTTCTTGTTGTATGAAAACACCTATGTTAAATGTTTAGAAGGCGAAGCACATTCTGTTGTGCTTAGAAGAGACAAGAAAATCAACAATTACACTACATGGGGATAAATGTTAAATGAGTCCTTTACAGGAGTATAAAGTTGGGAGATGATGAAACAACTTGTTTGTTAAACCAAGGCCTTTGAACTTTAACCTGAAAGTTCTGGAAAACCTTTCAAAAATTTTAAGCAGGGGATAAAATTCAAATGTGTTCAGGAAGGTTCTTCTGGCCAGTAAAGAGCTTATTTTGGAGGTAGGACAAGCCTGGAGGCAGGGATATCAGGCAGCTAATGTTATAATCAAGCATTCACACTGCAGCCCATTAAATTTCTAAAGGAATCACCTTTTACAGAATCCTAAAGTTTTGGAGCTAAAACACAGTTTACAGATATTCTTCAATTCTCTCGTTTTACACAAGAGGGAAAGACATAATACTTGGTCATGATGTCATAGATAATGTTAGAACAAACAGGGTTAGAGCTCATCTCAGATGCTACATTTACTTTCTCCTAAAATCCTTCATGGATTTCCATTCTTGACAATTTTATCAAATGTAATTGCCCAAAGTCTTGTCTGTAGCTTTCTTTGGAATCAGGTCCTTTACCTAGCAAGACAAATTCTTCCAGGGCTACCTCTGTGGTTTTTCAGTTCCTACTTAGTACCTGTCCGTGGGATTCACCTTTGTCAGAATTAATGCATTTTAAAACGTGACATTTTATCCACCACATTTTGGTCTTCACAGAAGAATTTTACATTATCTTGTCTAAAATACTGCTATATGATTACTTATTTAATGCCTTTTCTCACCGCTACATGGCAAGGTTCCAGAGGCCTGCCTGAGTTACTACTGTTAAAAACACATATACAAGGTCTGATGTGGTGTTTACATACAGTAGGTACTCAGTGCCCATTTGTAGAAAGAATAAGTGAATATTGCTTTTAATTTATTCATTTAACAAATATTTATGAAAGCCTGCATTGTCCTAGAATAGAGTGATCACACATTTAATTAATGTTGCTTACGTTAGGGTAAGTAGCTAGCCATTTGGGAGTGGGGGAAAGCTGGATTTCTCCCTTTTCCCTGCAGAGAACAGTGAAATAAATTTTAGGCCCATTCAAGATTTAAAATAAAACTGAAAATGCCAAAATAATCACAGGAAGCCACAGAATTTTTTAGAATTTTGATGCAAAGCCTAAATTTTAGACTTTAAAACTTTTGTGCAAAAAGGTATATAATAAACGAAAAAATAAGAATTTGAGGTGGTGATGAATAAACTAACTTTGCAATTAATATGGAGGTCAAAGATGTATTTCCTGGCATGTAAGTACAAATAGATAAACTACAGATTATCAACACATTAAGAAAGGCTGTGGACTCCAAGAAGTTCTCAGATAAAGGTATATAAGATGTCTGTCTTGTAAAAATAAGAAAATGTGCTCAGCCTCATCAAAGAGTCAAGCTGAAACAGCACTTAACCATTTTTAGGCTATCTGAACAACAAATATAAAAAAGTTTGCTAGTTCATCTGCTGGGAGATTGTGGGAAACAGGTACTTTCTATGGGTATGAGTCTGATTGTTACAATTTCTACAGAGAAAGTTAGAAATATTTATAAAAGCTCATATTCTTTGACCTAGAAGCTCCATTTCCAGAATGCTATTTTATTTTTATTGGACAGGGTGTTGCTCTGTCACCCAAGCTGGGGCAGGGTGCCACAATCAAAGCTCATTGTAACCTTGATTCCTAGACTTACTCAATCCTCCTGCCTCAGCCTACCAAAGTGCTGGGATTATAGGCGTGAACCACCACGTCTGGTCTGAGGATGATATTTTATAGATATATTTTATTTTATATATATAGACATACTTTATAAAATCTTATAGACTTACTTTATTATGTATATATTTATCCATAGATATAAGTATGCAAAGAAATGTTCGCCCAAGGATATTTCACTTCAACTTCAATCTCTATTTTGTTATATATTTCATCATAACTTTTATACTCTTCTAAGATGCTTTGTACTCTATGTGAGAAACATTGAATATGGTATACTTCTGTTGTAAAAATGAAAAGAAATCTATAAAAATATAAATATCAATATATGTATGTGTTCACACACACACATATATATACACATATACATGTGTGACCCCATATACTCATACATCAGTGACATATAAATTCCAGGAAAGTTATAGAAGTTTGACATTGGAGCCTCCCCAATCAGGCTTTAAAATAAAATAACTTTTCATTCTTATCTATCACTAGGCCTTTTGTGCACCTCTCGTTCTGATTATACAAGGTTATTCACCTTCCCCAAACCTTTTCCAATTCCATTCTTAGGCTTGAGCTCTTAATCTCACCAAGCATTTCCTTATATCAAGTGTTGCCTGGTGAAATCCCATTTTTCCAGGTCCAGCTCAAAGTTCCCTCAAAAGCACCTCAAGTTAAAATTAATTTCTCTCTTCTTTGTTTTCATATTTCATAAGCACATCCGTTATTCAATACAGAATATTCTGCTTACTTAGTTGTATGCATAGTGGTTAGGCAGAAAAGTGAAAGGAGAGGAAAGAGCTCTGGGAGATAATTCTGTTTCCCATATTAGATTAGCAAATTTTGAGGGCGGAGGTATCAGTCAAGTCTGATTTTTAAATCTCTGACTCCCCTTCTTTAAACATATAACACAATGCCTAACTTAATGATTGGATAGCCTGTACCCAACTAGAAACCTGAAAAAAGGTACCATAAAGAAGTGTTGTATTTCCATTCTAATTGAAGAGTTTATGTGTAAAAGTTTTCTGAATAGTTACACTCTATGCAATCGTTCATAAATCTAGTTGGTTTTGATTTCAATTTTACCTAGGGGCATTATAAATGATCATTTGGCATTTAGACACTTTTCAACAAAGATTTGGTTTTTATTATGATTTTTCTTCTCTCTGTATATTTTCTTTTCTAGCAATTTTTCATCAAAATTTCTGGTCAAAACATTACTTTATCACTTTATTTTACTTTTATCAATTTAAGTTCAGCCATCTACATTTAAGTCTCAAATACACTAAAAGGACCAGAGAACCTCCTATCGTTCTTTTTTCTTTTTCTTCTTTTCTGGAAGGGTGTGGGTGTATTTCTTGAATAAACGCTGTCGATTTAAAAAAAATCCAATTGAAAATGCATTGTGTTTAACGAAATAAAAGGAAACTCCTACTGTTGACTTGTAGTTATTACAACTAACTTCAGGTTGTTTTTAAGGTTTATTCCAGTAGGTGTCACTGTTGAGTTGAAGCAAAATCCGTTTCCAAGGGCGAATTTTTTAATTAAAAGAACATGAAGGTTTAGTCGATAAAAGCGTTTAGTTTTTTAATGTTTCAAAATTCCACTTCTTTATTTTTCAAAAGAGACGGGGTCTCACTATGTTGCCCAGGCTGGAGTGCAGTGGCTATTCACAGGCGCGATCCCACTACTGATCAGCACGGGAGCTTTGACCTGCTCCGTTTCCGACCTGGGCCGGTTCACCCCTCCTTAGGCAACCTGGTGACCCTCCGCTCCCGGGAGGTC